GAGTGTGTGTGAGTGAGTGAGTGAGTGAGTGAGAGTGTGAGTGTGTGAGTGAGTGAGTGAGTGAGTGTGTGTGAGCGAGTGGGAGTGTGAGTGTGTGTGAGTGAGTGAGTGAGTGAGTGAGTGAGTGTGTGAGAGAGTGAGAGAGTGAGTGAGTGTGTGTGTGTGTGTGAGTGTGTGTGAGTGAGTGTGAGAGAGAGTGAGTGTGAGTGAGTGTGAGTGTGTGAGTGAGTGAGTGAGTGAGTGTGTGTGAGCGAGTGGGAGTGTGAGGGTGTGTGAGTGAGTGAGTGAGTGAGTGAGTGAGTGAGTGAGTGAGTGAGTGAGTGAGTGTGTGTGAGTGAGTGAGTGAGAGTGTGTGAGTGAGTGAGTGAGTGGGAGTGTGAGTGTGTGTGTGAGTGAGTGAGTGGGAGTGTGTGTGAGTGAGTGAGTGTGTGTGAGTGAGTGAGTGAGTGAGAGTGTGTGAGTGAGTGAGGGTGTGTGAGTGAGTGAGTGAGAGTGTGTGAGTGAGTGAGGGTGTGTGAGTGAGTGAGTGAGAGTGTGTGAGTGAGTGAGTGAGTGAGTATGTGTTTCTGCTCTGACCTGGCAGTGCACCATGAACTCGCAGGTCTTGCTGAGGTCTTTGGCGAGCAGCGGGCGTCTCATGTCGCAGCGGAGTGTGTACTGCACACACAGCAGAGGTCAGAGGTCAGAGGAGTGTTTGTTAGGTCAGACGGCAGAGCGGAGCTCGCTCACCTGTATGTTGACGAACACGCCGTGGTACGTCTCGTAAAGGACTTTGTTGCCTTTGGCCTGCAGCGGAAACTCAAAGGGGATCTCGGTTCTTCCAGCGGGGATCTTTCCCGGCTTCACCACCTCCATGTTACTGGACACCAGCTGGATGGGCTGCAAGACACAAACCACAACATGATCCAGACACGCTGACGAGCACTCTGAAGAGTTAAAGCGTCAGGTCACCCAAAACTGAACACGGTCATGTTGTTCCAAACCTGCACGAGTTTCTTTCCTCTCGAACACAACAGAAGATATTTTTGACGTAGCTGTTGACTGCTTTTCCACATTACGGAAGTCGATGCGTATTAAAATATGAAAACGTTGGAGGATTTATGATGTTGTTGACCGTTGAAACGCGTCATCACAGCCGTGTGAAAAGGGTCCATTCTTTAAAAGCATCTGTTGTGTTCGAGAGGAAAGAAACTCAGATGACCGTGTTCAGTTTTGGGTGAACTGATGCTTTAAAGCTTGAACTTTGAATGTATTTTAGAAAAACAGATAGTTTGGTTGCAACATAAAACGTCCTGAAAGCTACATCGTCTCCTGCTGAAGTATTAATAATAATGAACTAACAATAAAGCACTAATCTTTTAATGACTGGCGTGACCGCATGTCTAAACGCTGTAGATGCACACATCTGATCAGTTTGTGTTTTCATTCACACAGGAGCGGATGTCATCTATTTCTGACATGCTGTATGGAAGCCCATTTCTGCTTCTGAATAATCCAACATTTATAAAGGTAATTCTGACACTTTTTCTCAGAACTGTGAGATATAAACTTTTCTCCCCTCAGAATATGACTTGATAATTCACAATTCAGTCAGAATTCTGAGAAAAAGGTCAGTTGCGAGATGAAGTCACAATGACCTTGTTTTATTTTTATTCAGTGGTGGAAACGGGCATGATGTTGTTGCTTGAAGGATGAAATAGTGATTCATGATGTATTAAGAATCATTTGAAAGTCACTATTGACCAGCCAGGTTTCTGTAATTTAGTTTTTCCTTTTCTTTCCTCTCCAGACGTCTATGGAGGCGCTAAACACCCTCAGTTAAAGCTGTAGTGATGGCATTTCGTCGCAGATTTGGCTAAATGTCCAGTGTGTTGTGGTTTGCGCTCCAGAAATTGGTTTCTATTTCAACATGTTTGTGCAGCGTTTAGCAGCGCAGACAATCACAGACAGATCTCTTGATTTCTTGAATGCAGCAGCCAATCAGAGGCGTCACTGGTGTTATTACTCGGCTGTTGTGTTCAGTACAAATCATCTCATTATAACAGTTCAGACGTGATGTAAATAAGAGATTCGTTGTGCAGTGACAGTTTTGTAGTGATTATGAAGGGAGCGCTCTTTGCACCATAGCAAATAGCAACAGACAGCATATATATATATATATCTTATATTGTGTATGTGTGAGTGAGAGAGAGACAGCAGGTGAGTGTGTGTCTCTCTGTGTGAGTGTGTGTGTCTCGCCTTGACGGAGTTGTAGAAGGCCTCGAAGACTCCGACACTCTTGGAGCTGAGCTGCAGGTTGACCAGTCCCTCCAGACCGAGAGAAACCCCCTGATGCTGCAGCGCGTCTCTGCTGTTGACCAGTAGCACTCCGCTCACTCGCTCCTGAAAGCACAGCACACTGAGCTCCAGCGGACCCATCACAGCGGCACACCCGCACACACTCGCTCTTACCCCCTCATGATACACTTTATTCGCCCGCTTCAGCCTGATATCCAGCGACACGCTCATCTTCCTGCACTCGCTTCCGCGTCGCTGTCACGTGACCACTGACGTCATCCGGGGGCGGGGCTCAGCGCGGCCAGATGTTCATATACACAATAAATGTATTACTTCACAAAATAAATAATACTTATAATAGGATAGGAACTAATAAATTAAACGTCTTGAAAAAGTAATATATATATATATATATATATATTTACTTACTTTACAAAAATAAATTACAAAATAAATAATACTAATTAAATTAATAGCAATATATATTGCAATACAATTAATTAAATATTTATATTAAAAGCGAATTAATTTAAACTCCAAGGGTTAAGACATGCCTGTTTGAGCTGCTGTAAGAAGTGAAGTAAAGTGTTCAAAACGTTTTAAATCCCGAGCAACTTCCAGGAATCTACATTTATAATACTTACTCAAACTAATAATCAAGCACACACACAGACACTCACACACACACTCTCACACTCTCACACACACACTCTCACACACACACACACACACACACTCACACACACACACACACTCACACACTCACACACACACTCTCA